AACATGTACACCGTATCCACCAAGCATCTCGATCGACTGAATACGGCAAATTAAACCCTCAACATTAATAGACGCCCCCCACCCCGCCCCCAATATAAAAGGCGAGTGCTGATTAAAAGGCTGCAACGGACAGGACATCCAAGCCGCTGTATAGGATCAAAGCAGGAGAGTTTAGGGCTGGCTTGTCGAACTCCTTTACCTCAAGTGGCCACGAAACGGCCGTATGGCTTACGAACAAACATACTAATTAATTCATTACAAAAACACACGAAAAAAAACTGTAAGAGTGTAAGATATAATCTTAAAAGACGAAGGGCTGGCTTAAAAGACGATGGACTGGCTTAAAAGACTGGACTGCTTAAAAGACGTTGGAAAAGACGTTGGACTGGCTTAAAAGACGCTGGACTGGCTTAAAAGACGTTGAACTGGCTTAAAAGACGATGGACTGCCTCAAAAGACGCTGGACTGGCTTAAAAGACGATGGACTGGCTTACTGGCTTAAAAGACGATGGACTGGCTTAAAAGACGTTGGACTGGCTTAAAAGACGTTGGACTGGGACTGGACTGGCTCAAAAGACGTTGGACTGGCTTAAAAAGACGATGGACTGCTTAAAAACTGGCTTAATAAAGACGATGGACTGGCTTAAAAGACGTTGGACTGGCTTACTGGCTTAAAAGACGTTGGACTGGCTTAAAAAACGTTTGACTGGCTTAAAAGACGTTGGACTGGCTTACTGGCTTAAAAGACGATGGACTGGCTTAATAAAAGACGAAGGGCTGGCTTAATTAATCCTGTAAAACGACCGACTGTAAGAGAGAAACATGAAACGCGCTGTGGCGAACCGCGGGCCCACGTGTTTGGCACCCCCGGGTTAGGTATGTTTTGCGCCGCGCTGTCCTTTGAGGGCAACGCTAATGACCTGCTTTCCACTTGGGGTTCAAGGGGAGTACGTCTGAGTCTTCAAGGGGGGTTGCGACGCTTGGTCAAGGTCTGGCTCTTGCTTTCGCTCTTTCTTTTAGGCTTTTATTATAATTTTCTTTTATACATAACTCTCGCTCTTGCTCTTGCTTTCGCTCTTTCTTTTGGTCTCGCTCCTGCTCTAGCTCTGGCTCTCGCACTTGCTCTGACTGTTGTTCTTGTTCTTACTCTCGCTCTTGTCCTTGCTTTTGCTCTTACTCTTGTTCTTGGTTTTTCTCTCGCTCTCGTTCTTATTCTCACTCTTGTTCTTGACCTTGTTCTTGCTTTTGCTCTTAATCTTGCTCTTACTTTTACTCTCGTCTTTGTTCTTCCTCTCGCGCTGGTTCTTGCTCTTACTCTCGCTCTAACCCTTGCCTTTGTTCTTGCTTCCTTTTGCTTCTCTCGCGTTCGCTGTTTTTTTTCTTACTCTTGTTCTCGCTGTTGCGCTTGTTCTCCTCATTTTCTGTGTGTGTGTGTGTGTGTGTGTGTGTGTGTGTTGTGTGTGTGTGTGTATGTGTGTGTGTGTGTGTGTGTGTGTGTGTGTGTGTGTGTGTGTGTGTATGTGTGTGTGTGTGTGTGTGTGTGTGTGTGTGTGTGGTGTGTGTGTGTGCGTGCGTGCGTGTCGTGTGTGTGTGTGTGTGTGTGTGTGTGTGGTGTGTGTGTGTGTGTGTGTATGTGTGTGCGTGGTGTGTGTGTGCGTGTGTGTGCGTGTGTGTGTGTGTGTGTGTGTGTGTTGTGTGTGTGTGTGTGTGTGTGTGTTTGCGTGTGTGGTGTGTGTGTTTGTGTGTGTGTGTGTGTGTGTGTGTGTGTGTGTGTGTGTGTTGTTGTGTGTGGTGTGTGTGTGTTGTGTGTGTGTGTGTGTGTGTGTGTGTGTGTGTGTGTGTGTGTGTGTGTGTGTGTTGTGTGTGTGTGTGCGTGCGTTGCGTGTGCGTGCGTGCGCGCGCGTGTGTGTGTGTTGTATGTGTTTGGTGTGTTTGTGTGTGTTGTGTGTTTCGTTTGTGTTTGTTGTTGTTTATGTTTGCGTGTTTGTGTTGTTTGTGTTTTTTTTTTTTTTTGTTTTTACGTGCATGTGTGAGTGTGCATACCTACGTGCGTCGATGAGGCGTGTACGTACGTGTATGGTCGTTGCGCTGAAGGCATGTACACGCTCGATATACACACAACTCGCACACAGCACCACGCGCTCTCCATCCACGACCTCTCAACCATCGAAAATACGTATGTGCGAACAGACACTTACACCAACGCACACACGCAGACACAAATTACATATTCCCTCGACTACAAATCAGGCAAACCAGCCGACGAGGCCGAATCATCAATCTCCTAGTTCTCATTACAGTTCGCCAGGGAATCGGGTCCTGTGAGCGCGGGCCCCGTTCGGATAGATTGCCGCTGCATCAAAAAAAAAAAAAAAAAAAAAAAAAAAAAAAAAAAAAACGGTCCCGCTCAGTTGAACGCTGCATCGGATGAGCAACAGAAATGCCGGGCTGTATATTAGAAATCCGATCGACTGGTGAGCTTTGCGCCGCTTAAAACCACGTGGCTCCTTTATAGACCTTTCTGTTTTTTTTAATTGTATTTCATTTTTCTTTTCTTTTTTTTTTTTTTTTTTGCCGTTTCCGACCAAGATCCCCATTCACATTTTATTATTCTCCCCTCCCCTCTCTCTCTCTCCCTCTCTCTCTCTCTCTCTCTCTCTCTCTCTCTCTCTCTCTCTCTCTCTCTCTCTCCTTTTTGAAAGAGAGCCACTTTGGTCGACTACATTCATCTGAGAGTCTCACTTCATGCGAAAACTCATACTTTAACTACATAATATTACTTTATTGTAGTAGGAGACTTTAGTAATTCATAAAATAAACTTTCGGGATTAGGATCATGGTAACAATTCATTCATGAAATATTTCCCAGGCAGTAAGCCAAAAACTGCCGTAATCAACTACGATCAAACAAGAAAAATAACTTTATCAACTATTTCTTTTTATTTCCCTTTCGTTGTTGCGATTTTCCGAACCCCCTAAAGGACACGGATGAACAATACGATTAATATGTAAACATTGTCTGTCTTTGCATTTAGTACGAGCAGTGAGCATTCTTGTGTCAAGTCCGCGTAGCAATAAAAAAAATAAAATGTAATAATAATAATAACGATGATAACTATAATGATGATGATAATGATAACAATAATAATAGCAATAGCAATAATAACAACAGCAATAATGATAATAATATCAACAGTAATAATAATAATAAATGTCACGACGCGGCAAACGAACATATTTATCTTTTCTGTCCTCGTTTCGGCGAGTAAATAGGATTCATATTTGAAGTCAAGAGATGAAGCTTATTCATTTTCTTCCGCCCAAGTTCCGTCATTAATATGAGAGTACAACTTTGCCAAAGACAATCAACCTTAGTAATATTACTCCCTGCAAGTTTTCTGATTAAAAAAAAAAAATGTTTACTCCCGCTCCAGTTTCTGCGCAGCTTTTCGTCTAACGTCTAACGGGACTGTAACAGTTGATCTTTCTCTCGCTCTTGCTCTTGTTCTTGCTTTTTGGCTCTCGCTCCTCTCTTCTCCTTGCTCTTTCCTTTAATTTTGTGTGTGAGACAGAGGGAAAGGGAAGGGAGAGGGAGATAAGGGGGAAGGAGAGGGCGAGAGGGGGGAGGAGAGGAGCGAGAGGGGGGAGGAAGAGGCGAGAGAGGGGGAGGAAGAGGGCGAGCGGGGGGAGGAGAGGGCGAGAGAGGGGAGGGAGAGGTCATGGGAGAGGGAGGGAGGGAGGAGGAGAGAGAGAGAGATAAAAAGGGGAGAGGGGAGAGAAGCAAGAGGAAGAAAGATGTGGGAAGGGAGAAACCGGAAGAGAGTGGATGGTGAAAGAAGGATGGGGAACGAAATATAGGGGCATGCGTGAGAAAGAAGGAATGAAAGAGAAAGGGAGAATGAGAGGAAGGCTGAAAGGCAGAGGAAAGATAGGACAGAGAACATATATCATATCTTTGGAAACTTAATACCTAAGAAAAATATTCTAAAGGAAAGGGGATAAGCAGGGAGGTATGGGGGCCCCATTTTTTTCAGAAATCAATCATGAATTTCTATGCACTATCTGTGACCGTTAGCTGCAAAAGAAAGAAAATGTTTTTGAATTTGATAATAAACGCTACTCACTACTGGGATATCACAGTACCATTATGTGCAGAGCAGTTTCAGGAAAATGATTCAGAATAAGCCGTCAGTTACAACATAAAAAATGATATTCTCTAAATTTATCATATTTCTAAAAAAAAAGACGACAAAGCTTCTTATATAACTAAAAATTTAAGGGAATGTTTTTCAGTGTTGTGTTTTGCCCGAAATATTTAATAAGCGGTAGAAATTTAGTCTTTTCTTTCTTTACTATTCGTTTTCATATTTCATTTTAAACAACTACTTTCTATTAAAAGTCATCTGATGTGTATGACCTTTGTTCAAGACTATCATGAAATAGTGGTCATTAACATTATCATGTCGATGTTTATGTTATGATTTAAAGTCTTACTAAAAAAAAAAAAAAAAAAAAAAAAACACACGCATTTCAGACCTGTAATATACATACATATATACTTATACATGTGTGTGTGTATGTGTGTGCATATAATATATAATATATATATATATATATATATATATATATATATATACTATACATACATGTATGTATGTATGTGTGTGTGCGTACATATATATAAAAATATTAATTCATCTACCTGTCTACATATTTATCCACCTATATCCCCCCCCCCGCACACACATATATATTCCTATATATATAGATATATATATATACATATACATACATGAGACACATATACAAGCATATTTACAGATACATATTCATATATCAATATCCATACCTCTATATACTGATATACATACATAAATATTAATTTACACGTCTATGATCTATCTTTATATCTAGAAAATAGAAGGTAAAGCAAAAAAGAAAAAGGGAAGAACCAAACTCAGAGAGAGAGAGAGAGAGAGAGAGAGAGAGAGAGAGAGAGAGAGAGAGAGAGAGAGAGAGAGAGGAGAGAGAGAGAGAGAGAGAGAGAGAGAGAGAGAGCGAGAGAGAGAGAGCGAGAGAGAGAAGCGAGAGAGACGAGAGAGAGCGAGAGAGAGCGAGAGAGAGGAGAGAGAGAGAGAGAGAGAGAGAGAGAGAGAGAGAGAGAGAGAGAGAGAGAGAGAGAGAGAGAGAGAGAGAGAGAGAGAGAGAGAGAGAGAAAGAGAGAGAGAGAGAGAGAGAGAGAGACAGAGACAGACAGAGAGAGAGAAAGAGAGAGAGAATCACTCCCCTTTCCATCTCCCTCCCACAAAGCACTGTCCAAATTGAGCGATAAAATAATTATTGGACGAGCGAGAGCCGGACTGATCAAGAAGTTTGGAAAGCGATCCTCGGAGCGGCCATTCTGACGGGCCTCCAAGTGGGGAAAGTATTGGAGTTCAATCATTTCGAGTTATAAAAGAGCCAAAAGGAGCCAATTAAGATGTGAACAAAAACCATTTAAGAAGCTTACCGAATATATTTCAGTTCCCAAGGGGCCTGAACGCTGGGATGGTGACTGGCGCTGTGATTCTTTTGGCTAAGCGCAGATCCTCTCAGAATGAAAAGTGCTTTTATTCACAGACACAAAACACGTACACATAAAGATGTCATAAATTCTTTATCTACCTAGATATCTCTTTCTGTATGTACAGAGAGAGAGAGAGAGAGAGAGAGAGAGAGAGAGAGAGAGAGAGAGAGAGAGAGAGAGAGAGAGAGAGAGAGAGAGAGAGAGAGAGAGAGAGAAAGATCCATTACTAAATTTGTAACTTCTGGCGAATGAAGTTAAAAAAAATATATATATATATATATATATATTTATCGGTTTTGTGCTCTCAACCGAGGAGGAGCCTAGTATTAACCGAGTTGAAACGGCGAATTTTATTTTCTTTCCTATCCAAACCATTTTGTGGTTGTTTTTATTCCCTTCATACACGCATCTGTACTTTTTAAAATATACCAACCGGTTTTCCGTGTGTGTGTGTGTGTGTGTGTGTGTGTGTGTGTGTGTGTGTGTGTGTGTGTGTGTGTGTGTGTGTGTGTGTGTGTATGTGTGTGTGTGCCGTTGTATGCGTATAGGAATAAAAAATACTGAATACATATAATATATATCCTCCGTACCATGTAAAGCAATTCAGAACCTCCGTATTTACTGAAAAATCAGGGGGAATTAAGCATTCTTCACATGACAGATTACGTGCTCGTGCTGTTGCAGCCGCATCATCCATCAGTGAACAGCCGGCTGTGTTCGCGGGGAGAACAGGCCCGCTGATGGAGGGAGGCGTGTTCACAGAGCTTCAGGCGGGGGAAGGGGGCGGGGGAAGGGGGCGGGGCATTGGGCAGAGGATGAATGCCTTTCACAGCCGAGTGACTGATGAGGTCCTAATGCCTTTGTCGTCGCCAGGGTGATCACGTCCCCCGCCCCCCCATCCCCCCCACACATACATAGGCGAGGGAAGGTGAAGGATTGCTGCGTGATGCAAACAAACTTCCATAAACAATAACAATCGTCTTGCACTTCCGTTTCTGATGAACTGCCGACCAAAATGTTCTCGTCGCTTTCTCGACTCCTTTTGGAGTTTCGTTCTCATTTTCCCCGACGGTTATCATTTCCGAATTCGTTTCCCTTGTGTCTAAAATCTCCTGTCTGTTTGTGTGTTATTCCAGGTGCGTCGTGTTTGGGGTCAAACGAATCCCTACCATTATTTTCTTCCATTCCTCCATTTTCTGTTGTTTCACTAAGCTTTTCATTTGCTCTCTAGTTGTTTAAATGTTTTTTTTAAGTAACATCTGATCCGATAAAAATGTACTGTAAACGCTCCTAAACGGTCTAAAATTTCCACGTAATAATCTGGTAACCGTATTCACCTCATTATCCGAAGCACTCTTTGAGATACAGGCACACGGTTGGACAAAATTCCTCGTCAAATCATCCTTCATAAGCATTACGGTTTTTTTGTATTTCACATTTCCAGGAACGTCCTTCGCCACATAACGCGCTTCGTTCCTCAACCGTATAGACCTACATACCCCTTTCCTCCACCCCGATGATAAAAGGTTTCAACACGCCTTGCAGAATGAACTCGACTTTAACGATAAGATTAAAATGGCGGATGTTAATCTTCCCCGAGCGAACGTGAGCTCCAGGATCTATACATCAGCGTTAGGATATTCATGAGAAAAGATAACGGGATCGTTTATTTACGAGAGGACGGGCTCACCGCCATAAAGCACATCGATAATGCTTATCGGTGCTCCGGTAGAGAGGTACTACGCGCCAGCAGGATGTAAAATAATGATTGATAAAGGGAATTAAGCGCTGGCCAGTCCTGAGACAAGTGCTTGAGTATGAACAGCAGGAAAAAAATGTCAGAAGGGATCCCGTGCTCTTTTTCTTACACTCGCCGCGACTGACAAATACGAGTAGTAATAACAGTCAACTATCGAAAATATAACCTACCACAT